TAAACTTTGGTAGCAGTCAAAGCTGGCCTTATTTAAAATGGTAAACTGCCTCTGACCCAAGACTGTTTTTCATCTTGACAAGCAGTAAAGCTGAATATACGCACAACTGTTTTCTGTATTTAATACTTATTTAAACTAGTTGGCAACGTTTCTCAGTTTTATTGGCCATTCCAACCTCCTGTGGTGCCTCTAGGTGATGAATAACTTTGTGATACACTGAATATCATTTCTCACCTACATCATGACACTTAATAAAGTGGTACTCCGGGCCATAAACTTCTACTTCTCTAGAAGCCATGCCATGTGAAGTTGCTGGCCAGACATGCTCTTGGGTTCATGCAGCTTCCACACAGCTCCCACCTTCTGATGTGCAGTGCCCTAACAGCTGCAGTTATATACAGCGGAACTAACATTCCGTGTAAATTGTATTTAAATTTTCAGATAATTATGTGCAAATTACCCAGTAAATTATCATTTATTGTGTTCATTTTTCTACAAGTACCTAGAGGTAACAGCTGGGATCATGAGCTCATTAGAAGAGGTGCTATAAAGATACATAAAATAAGTAACTATCTTATTTCTCCTGTGACTATGCACCAAATGGAAAAAAAAACCCTAACAGTTAGGAGGTTGGTTAAATATAAGGAGGCGAGATTAAAATCCTATACACTATTTATTCAAAATTACAAATTAAATGTGTGTGAATTAATCTATACAGAAAACAAAAGAGTTCCTATATATGGACTACATGCTATTGAAGGCTAGAAGAATCAGCAGATGGTTTTTATCTTAATTTTAAGTGGAATATTTTTCTCTTACATATATGCTCTCTTAAATTAAAACAAACAACGTCCCCCCCCACCACCACTAAGACTGCTTTCATTTGCTCCGCTACAGGCATCTGAATCTCAGCTAAACCTCATCCTCCCTTCATAGATGAGAAGGAAGAAGCACCTCCAGAGAACAATTTTTGTGACATTCCAGAAAATCTTACAATAAGATCAACTGCCTTGTGTGGGTACTTTTTTGTGTCAATTGACTATAAGGGGAGCCTACAAAGATTGACTCAGGCTTAGGTGTCTAATTATTAGCTGTCTCAATCTCAGCAATGAATCCAGTCTTTATGTATTGTAGGTACACAACTTGTCTGACGTTTATTCTAGTGACGGGGGGCTTTCAGTCAATTTTGTTAGATTGTAGCATTAAAACAAAATATACATCCTCCACTACAGAAGAGGAATGCAGTCTACATCTATTTGATCATTATGTAACTTTGTACTCATTTTGAGGATGGAATGAGCATGTGACAAATTACAGCAGAGCAGCTGCTGAAATTCATAAAGATTGGAATAACTGAGAAAAGCAGTGTTGGCTTTAAACAGCAATCATTACTGTGACTTAAAACCATTACTGTGACTTAGAACAGAGCTGCAGCAACGATTTGTTCTGGTACAGCAAAATTTGGATGTGGCAGTTGAAATTCAGACCTGTCACAACAGCAGTTGGACAAGAGGGGAACTTTCCTCTAGGGCTGAATAACTGGAAGGGCAGGAAGGGATGGACAAATAACTGCTCCCTCCACTGCAGTCACGAGAAACTGACACATGAAGACACAAAAGTTGTCACACGAGTGTATTTAGCAGTTGGGTCCCAACTGCTCCACTGTTGGCTCATTTTTTTTCCAGACTGGGAGGGTGGGGCTTTTTTTGTTTAAGTGTGAACATACATCCCTGTTGTATGTTAAAAAAAATCAAATCAGTCAAAGCAAACGGGCAAGTCCTGCAAAAGAACCTCTGACCCTTTGAATCCAACCACTTTCAGACCTGCTAGGGAGTCCATTTTACAAATTTAATTGAAGAACAGCTAATGCATGTCCCTCAGTGTTAAAACTGATGAGATGGCCAAATCTTCCACGGTTTCAGACAAATCCAGTTGCGTTATTGTGCAAGATTGCCTCCTGGTGGTAGCACCAAGAACCCGCAGAACAACATAATTTGCACGTAGAAAAGGCAAAAACCTGTTTTAAAAGCATGCCTCCTTTTCTAATTCAGGTCTAACTAGAGGAATTGAAAGAACTTTCTTTTCACTAAGACATCAAGATAAACTGAAATGCGATTTAAATGCTCTGAATTGAAGACAGTTTGACACACGACTGACAGTTTTCCAAGGGCATGCTAGCAACCAAAGCCCCAGACAACTTTTAGAGAGAGGTTAAAACAAAAATAAAAATCAGTTAAGATGTATCCAACTGTGCATTACCCACAGCAATGAGCCTAATAAGGTCCAAAACACTTAACTACTAGATACAAAGCAAATGGGTGTCTAAAATTGGATACAAAGACACCACAGCAGACTTAACATTGTGAATTCTATGCAACTAAAGTTTTCAATTACAAAGAACGGGAGCACCAGAAAACAGAAATCCCAAGCTAACTTTCAAATGGATTATTCTTTTGCATAGAAATGGGACAAGAATCAAATGGATGGATTTCTAATTCCAAGTTCTCAAGCGAAGAGAAACAGATAAAGACAGCTGTACGTAGTTGTTCAAGACCTAGAGAAATCAGAAGGACAGCTTGGAATTACTGTGAGAGTAGGACTTTAATTAGGTTACGCTTCAGACGACCCAGGAGAAAGATTTAGCAGAAGTGAACATTGAAAAATTGAGAGTGGCAATGTAACGCAGGGAAAGATTTTAAAATATCAATTTTATGAATTAACATAATACCGAAATGGCAGAGGGTACATGTAGTGAACATGTGTTTTAGACTCAGTTTCCAGTAACTGGTCAGAAGAGGAAGTACTTTCAAGATAGCACTCTAGCACATCATAGATTTTTAGCCCTCAACATGCCTGAAAAGCATCCAAAAATGTTTGGGAAACATTGAGAAAGCCATCATTTCTACAGTGATTGTGGACGTTTGATCACAAACAGGGTTAGACAGGCAAGAACAGACAAATGTGACAACAGGTTTCCGTAAAGCGTAATGTCTTAACAGTATTACGCAGCAATAAGCAAAAGCATGAGGGAGAAAGAGGGGGAAAACCAAATTAAAGTTTAAATTAATCCAGGGATATCTTTTCTTACACTGGAGTAAAGTCAAACGGTGACAAATGAGGTCTCAGCTTTCCAAAAATAAAGGGGGCTCCATTTCATGCAGTGGAACATAACAAAACACTAAACACAAGAGGTAAGCTGCTCACTTACGGACCAGTGTCAGTACCAGGCACCATCACTTGATGAAAACAGTAAAATTTGTTGTACTACAAATTACTAGAAACTATTTCAAAAGTTATATACTAGACAGAAAAAAAAAAAAAAAGTTCTTTTCATGCGACTGAACTTGCAGAGTAAGCAGCGATCCTTTTCACAGACACAACAGACATTCCTTCATGATAGCATGTTTGTTATCACGCGAGCAACACATCGTATAATACGGAGCCAAAATCACTTGGCTGATGTAGGCTTAAACATGGACTCGGCTATCTTACAAGCATAACAGACAGAACAAGCAAAAGGATTTCATGCTCTGCCATGATAAACCATTATCAGCTAACTGGCATTCCGATTTAAAAATGTATTTTTCAAAATAATACCAAGATAAATACTTAGACTAGCTTTATGTAAAATATTCCAGAAGTATTTAAAGGCAGTCTTTTTACGTGCATCCAGTATTACTTTTTTTCACAATTAAAGGAAATTCAAGGGGGGAAAAAAAAAAAGTTATTTAGTAATAACTTCAGAAAAGTAACTGTCCTTTATACTAACAATGACCAGAATTAAAGACTTTATCTGGTATTCTACTTCCAGCAAAAAGTGTGGACAACACATGCTGGCTAAATGACACTAGAATAACACAAGAAACAAGAACCTTCCTATTTTATCCAAGATGCTTTGGAAAAGAAGTACAATCAAAATGTATGACATACATAGGATAATTATTTTCTGATTATTTATTAGGATCTGCTAAGAAGGCTTGATGAAGTCACTGGGATGTCCACAGAGGCACAATGTTCCAAGCTAGCCCTTTCTATCAGAAGGCTGATGCCTAAAACCGTGAAGAACCTCCTTTTCCTGAGAAAAATACTAGATGACATAGAATATTCTAACAGCAGAAACATTTAAGCACTAGAAGACACTAAAGCTACAAAGCAGAATCAAACCCACGTTAATTTAAAATATTTTACATAATAAAGGGCCAATCCCTAGAAAAAGCTGGGAGTTTTCATGGATTACCTTGCTGAGGCCAAGAATTCCTCCCCTGAGCTACAGCTATACACAAACATAGCATCCTCACTGAATGGTAATTGGAGTGGGGTTAAAAAGACAAAACCAAAAAAAAAAACAACCAAACCAACCCCTGAACCACAAATGCACACAGAAGTTCTCTCAGATACTTGGGAATGCTGGGTGACGTGGAAGGGTGAGTTACTATGCCTTGGAAACTAAAATTGAACCAAGTTGGCCAGTTTTCAGTACATGACAATAGCCTTGAATACAATCACTTGGCTGATGTAGGCTTAAACATGGAATGAAGTCTTTTACAAGCGTAATACAAGAAGCAAAACTATTTCATCATTTTCATAAATACCTCTCATAATATTTTTCATCAATACTATTTCATTAATACCTCAGTATTCAAGCTCACCGGCATTTCAGTTGCTAGATTTCTTAAAATAAAAAAAAAAATATCCCCCAAAATAACATCAAACCCTACAGTGTCCAGTTCTACACTTCTCGTTTTGACGTAAGACTTCTATGCCTTCACTTTACCAACGACAAGCCTCTGGCCGAGTTTAACTGGAGCACACCATCTCCCATTACATCCAGTTCTAACACTAGCACTGTCACGGACCGTGCATATTCAACAGCCTTCACCAGATCCCCGTTTCATTAGTGCAGTTTTGTTGGTTTTCTGTCAACTAGTTGGAAGTAGAAATGAACAGTCAAATTTACTTAAGCATGTTTTAGTTTTAGTTATAGCACTCACAAAGAATCACCAAACATCTTGCTTTGTGTAATTTTTATTTCCAATAAAGATTAACAGCAAAGTGCTGGATGAACAAGAAGTTATCTTAATTATCGGTCTTTAGGAGGATTAGGATTCTTGCGTCTTCTATGATACCTAGAATTAAAAAAGGCTGCAGTGAATGCAAGCTTTGGACAGTCTTTGGTTGTCCTGACATTTCCCCCCCCCAGTGAGTAGTCTGGAGGTTACACAAGTAAGCAAAACACAAGATACACAAGCGGAGCCCATCACCACTCATTAGATGTCATCTCTGTTGTTCGTGGAGTTACATAATGCTACTCATTTCTATTGCTACATCTGCTACAAGCACGCAATAATCCAATCAGTTCTACAGCTGAGTAGGTACAAAGGCTGCTGTTTATTCTTAATCCTTTGTGTGAAGTTAATTTTATTACGTGGTCAGCTTTTCCTTCGGCTAAAATGATTGCTACAGAACAAAGACTTGATGTTTAAAGGAGTTATGCCAGACTGTACGTTAAATAGTGTAATATTTTGCAGACAAACTAAAACCCAAATTCTTCACAACAAAAGTGATCCCTACTTTCCTCTTAATTACCCACCCTAAAACAAGGAGGACCCCGTTTGATGCTCATTAAAGTGACAGCTATCCTTTGGCCATAGAAAGTTCTACCATTTAATTCCTTTTACCTACTCCTAAAACACAGTAGTTAAAAAGTTTTCTGTGGGAAAAAACCCAAATTCTGCCTGTATCAAGTGTCCATAGCTATAAATTAGCAGCTACCAAAAGGGGCAGTAACACGGACTGGACAGGAGTAACACAAACTAAAATGTCACGTATTTTAGTGGTATATGTGAATACATATAGTTCCTCTTTAAGCTGTCACGCGTATTTGTACCTCTCCTCGCTTTCTGAGTACAAGGTGCACCAAGGTGCACATTTCACCATTTCAAATTAAAAACCTCTACTATTCTTGAGTCTGAGAATCACCCTCCTTGAGGTTTGGGGTTTTTTTTCTGATAAGTTGTCAAGGAATACACAAGACCTGTTTCCAAGCTGTACTTGGTTATATCCACTGAAGGTATATATATGCTGACTTCACTTATGCAACTTTAATAAACCACCTGAACCAGTAGCTAACTAGATGCTATGAGAAATTTCTACTCTGTGATATATTTTACCAAAAAAAAAAAAAAGTTGCAAAGTCTACCAAAGGGGCAGTGTTAAAAAAACCCTTACGCAATGCAGTCTTCCATTTACACAACACCGCTTTAGGATTTTATGTAGCAGCCCATGTGCTAACGCTGTCTTGTGGCACATGACTTCTCCTAGGTTGAATCTGGTCATTAAATTATTCCTGTACCTCCTTTTACATCCCAAAGGAATGAACACTGAAAAGAAAATACTTACTGTCCCACAGGATACCAGCGATGTTTAGTTGTGTAAAACATTTTGCTGAGCTCTTCAATTGTAGGCCCGCTATTGTTCTTTAGCTCTTTTTCATTCAATCTGGATTTCAGAACTTGATCAAGGGTTTCTTCTTTATTATTCACTGGATCTGGCCGTGGTATGGGCTATAAAAACAGTAGTGTATACATTTCCTTTTTCTCCCTCTTTTGAGAAAATCAAAAAGCCAAGCTACGTAGATAGCATTACAATTTACTCTTAAAAGCTGAAACCAAAGGAAAACAGAAGAATGCCTGTTTAGCTCAGCCTGAAAACCCAGACCACTGTGCAGCAGATGTCTAGAAACCGCTACTTACCCCAGGTGCTACAGCTGATTACTTCACCCCTAAAATCAGCACTGCTGTCATCATTATTGCTGATCTCATCCTTACAATTCACTAGCTGAATCATAAGGTTCAGTTCCACTTGTACAAAAATACTCATATTATCCCTATTTAGAAATTTATTCATAGTGACGATCATCGTTGCTAAAAAAGCTTTTAGATGATTTGCACCGTGGAGAAGAATGTCACTTCCTAATTGTTTGTGCCTCTGCTAAGACCAAGACATTTGTTCTCAACCTGAAACCTAACTACCTAGCACCATTACAAGTATTTTTCCCTCGTTTTAGTCTTTTACACCTATTTTTCTTGAGAGACAGGCAACTGATAAATTTAAGAATACCAATAAGTAACTTGCAGGCAAAGAGCGCTAAAAACTTTTAAGTTTTCAATGGAGAATTTTCATATTGGGTACTTCAGCAACGTAGCTGCCATTTACAGTATTTTACTAGCACATGAGAACTGGAAATTGAAACAAAATGTACAACAGAAAAGTCCACCCAGATTTGCTTTCATCAGTGTAAAGAACACATCGGAAGTACTGCTGATAGATAAAAATTCAGTATTTACAGGTTTTTTGTGGCATTTATGAACTGGAGTGCTGAATGGAATTTAAAGCTCAAGTCAAAAAAAAGAAGCAGCAGCACCTCTTTATATCCTCTTGCACATGTACACAGCAGGACGTGTGACCTATAACCTGCATTTCAAACATCCTCCTTGAGGATAACGCCAATAGCCAGACACTCGTTTTCTCTGTAGTGCACAAGTATTTATACGCTGTGATATCTGAGCATTTCTCACTTTGCAACTTTCCCTCAATTCAACCAAGAATAAGGTCCTCTTCATGGCAGCAGCTATATTCATCATTCACTTACTTCACAGACATGCTGATCATGTACTGAAAAGTACCTCAGTATTTCAAATTAAAAAAAAATTGCCCAAAAGACTCAAAATTATGAACTACTTATGCCTTTACAAGAGTAAGAAATAGAAATGTGTACATTTGGACATACTTTTGTGTGCTCGTACGGAATCTCAAGCGAAGGGTGGTAGCAGACAATTGTCTTCAAATCTGATGTCACTGCAAGTTCCACTTTGCTATAAAAATAAAAGCTTACGCTCTTAAATATATTCCTTACAATTTTCAGAAATGCTGAGCAACTGAGCAGCCTGAGATCCAAAGAAAACCAGATTTGACCCTGCATTTATGAATTCTTAAGAATCTTCTATAAAATAAACCTTTATAAAACAAAGGTCACAAATATTTGATCTGAACTTCCCTTTTTTTTCTTCCCCAGCCATCTTAATGTTTCTTTTTTGGATGGAGAAGAAAAAAAGAGCTAAAATAAAGCATTAATGACAGCTGGAAATATGGGTTGCAAAAAAACCTTTAACACTTTGAATAATTCCATGTAAAACTGTAGCAACAGATGGAGATAATAATCCCTTGGACAATGTGCCTGTAGAAGAAGTATGGCACCTACAAAAGAAAGAACAGGAAACAAAGCTCTGTTTGGGGTTCCGACTTTTGTATTTGGTAAAATATGATAATCGTCACGAACAAAAAGTACTACTGAGAGGTTCGTTGAAGGAATATGACTTTTCTCACCTTCCTCCCCCTTCATGACACATTAGCTTCCTGAAACCTTGTACAACACAGATGCTGTGCTTCTCACTACATTTGTATTGTCTTTTCTGGTTTCTATGCACATTTCTCATGGAGCAGCACAAAAATAGCTGGACTTTGTCTTAACAACAAGCATCGATGAAAATGACTGCTCTTAGCTACTTTTGCTCTTCCACAAAAAAACCCTGTAGGGGTACTGGGGTAATCACCATGTTTAGAATGAGTCCTGCATGATTTTTCATTACGCGCTTTTTTTTTGAAATACTAACTCCACAATCATTATATCAGAACCAGTACTTTAGTTAAAATTATTACATGTATCCAACACTGGCAGAAGATGTATTTGATACCATTGTATGACAACTTCACAAGAGAGAAAGTAGGCCTGGAATAAATGTAACGTGAAAAGGCCACACATCAAAGCACGTTTAAGTACCAATTGTAGTCTTCAGGGAGAACTGAGTACGTAGATTTCTGGCAAGCAAGATACACAGCTCCATCTGCAAAAAAAAAGCAAGTAAAGAACACTAATGTAAAAACAAGCAGAGCTGTGCCAAATTTAAGAATGTTTACATTTTCATTCTGTTCTATGTCTTAGCTGGGGATTATAATCATACTCAGTTTTAGATTAACAAAACCCAAACACTGCCTAAACAGGAGTTCACTTTATTACACAGATTTCTAGTGCAATCAAAAAATACAGTATCTAGGTAGCTATGGCCTACATTTATTTTTCCAATTGTATGCTTTTCCTAAGAAAAAAAATCACAGCATGAACAAAACACCTATAGATTTCACCATTAGAATATATTCTTTATATATGCGAAGAATATTACCTTATGACTTACAGGGAAGATCATCATTTCATCCATAGCAATATTTTTTATTACAAAAATCAAATTTGTACTTCGTTGGCAACTGGTTTCTATGCTATACAAAACTATTATGCCTTGGCTTCTGGAACACTAGAGAACTTTACCCCTTTCCCCGGGTTCCTGTTGCTTCAAGGAAAGTAATCACAAGAATTAAAAGTAGTAAAGAAGGCCTGTTGGCATCTGGGACTGTACTAAGTGAACGAAGGGAAGTGATTATGTCTCTCTACTCAGCATCTGTTAGACCACATCTACATACTATTGCCAGTTTGGGGCTCTTTAATAAAATATAAATTTGAAAGAGTTCAGCAAAGGCCCGCCGAGATGGTCAGGGGCTGCAGCACCTGCCCATGGGAAGAGGCTGAGGAACCGGAGCTAGCTCAGCCTGGAGCAGAGACTGTTTTGGGGAGACCTGGAGACCTAACAGCAGCCCCCAGTGACTATGTATGAGGTTTGGGGTTACTGAGGAGAGGGAACCAGTCTGTTCACAGCACTACACGGCGGAAGGACATAAAACAACACCCGTAAGTTGAAACTGGAGGCTCTGACTGGGTATGTAGAGAAATGTTTTCCTCGTGAGGACAGCCAGTCGGTGGGACAGGGGCCCAGGCAGGTTTGTGCAGTCTCTGTCCCTGGAGATTTCAAAGACCCAGCTGGACAAAGCCCTGAGCAAGCTGGTGCGATTGCAGAGCTGAGCCTGCTTGGAGCCGGAGGTTGGACCACAGACCACCCAAAGTCCCTTCCAACTGAGCTTTCCCACAATTCCATCCTCTTTTTTTCATGGAATCACAGAATCATTTAAGTTGGAAAAGACCTTTAAGACCATCGAGTTCAACCATAAACCTAACATAAGGTGTTAAATAGTAACAGTCCCTTATACATAAACCATACCATAGGCATCTTGTCTTCCACAACCATGTAGGTATGGTGCCTAAGGCAGGCCCTGGAGGTGTCTGTAGCTGGTTGACTTGCACTGGCAAATCCCTTCCTTTACTGCCAGAACCTGACACAAACCCACATGTAAGTCCAGTGATGCTTATTCTACCACTACACTTTAATAGCTGAATTACGATCACAAGAACTAAGCCTTAGCATCTTCTAAGCCTTCTGTTTTCAAATAAGTCATAGAAAGGTTTCAACTTTTTTCTGACATGTTATTTTATGTAGACCATCTTTTGTTTTAATACAAATAGGATTCTTCCTGGCTGTTCATGATAGAGGGGGAGAGCATTCATTCAGTGTGTCAAAACTGAGAAAGCAGAAAGAACCAAGAAGCAAGAAGAAACTTTTATATAGTTATTTTCCTCTCAGAAATATTTTAGATGTAATATTCTTGAGTTTAAATTTAGATATAGCTAGTACATTTAAATATATATTTTAGACATAAAATTCTTGAATTTAGAATTTCTGTTAGCAATTCCATGCTTCAGTTCTGCCAATTAGACCATTCTTAGCTATTAAGAAGTTGAGTTCTGGTAAAATATTACTGTAAATAGTTTGTATTTCTTCCTAAGATTTCTTTCCCCTCCTTGCCCACTAACTTCTAAAATGTAAGACATCCATTCTATTTTCTCAATTCCTGTCTTTTCTACCACCTTTACCATCTCCCCTACATTGTTCTATTGACGTCTAAAAAATGGACGCAAATCTAAGAAATAATATTGCCTGTTTTCACTTGTTCTCTGTTTATGCTAAGTAATGAGATTTTACTGTAACCTTTTCTCACCACTGTTTGTAAGTCTGAAAAAATAAATTTAAATCTTCAAATATAATCAGTGGTATGAGGGGTATTATTTGCAAGCTAATTAATAAATTAGGAGTGTCATATGCAGACCATAGAAACTTTAAACAAAAAAAAACACCAAATCAAGACATCCTTTAATTATTAGCAGAGAACATGGAATATCAGATTTGATTCTGTTCAAACAAAAATTAATTTCCATGCTTCTATTACTTTAAACAGTACAGAAAAGAAGCTCTCAAATTTTAATATAGGATTTCTATAATTTCATCACTACTTACTCTGCAGTGGGGCCTGCTTACAGGTCACTACTGAACGCATCCAAAAGAAGCTGGACCACACAGTTCTAAGTGATGTTGCCATACTGACAGCAGAGAAGAAACCAGTCCTGGACAAGATGGAACTCAAACAGAAACCATATCTTTTCTTCTGCAGAAGACCCTCTGAAAGAAACCAGTTTCATAACTGTTCAGGGTGCAAGAGACCAACAATTTAATTTCTTTAATATCTTAAGGATAAATAAAATGTGTGCAGTACATTCTTCACTATTTGTCAGTTCTTTAGAAGTCATTATTTAAAGATACTGGCACCTGCCTCCTTAGTAGTTAAATGTGGTACGAGACTTTATTTACTGAGAGGTACTCTTTGAAGGTACATCATTAACTCTTTTTAAAGTTCCCAAGCTTGGGTCTTCTCACAATTTTTCTACTGGTACTCACCCACCTAAGTTTTGCATCTGTCCTTCCGTGCACTCCACAGAATTATTCCTGAAACATGTTTTTCTTGTTCATGTAAATATCATTGCCCAGTATAAAAATAAAAGTACTTATAACACTTGCTGTAGTTAACAAACTCTACATGCAGTTGGTTTCATCCGTCTCAAAAGCAACACATCTAAAAGCTACGAAACACTATTTAAAATACCTTAAATATTACCCCAAATTTCACAGACACATATAAACATCTAAAGTTTTCATTGTTTACAGAAAAAAAAAAAAGAAAACATTTGCTGTGAAGAAAAACTTATAATGATACCTAAAAAACCCATAACTGGAGACAGTTTAAAGACATACTCATAAACAAATAAAAAAGAAACAACACCTTTTTAAAACTACTTCATATTGAGCACTTCAGAACATCACCAGAAGTATGCATTTTCCAGTTTTGACAAAGAATTATTCATCATTTCCTTTACACGTGACAAGAGCTGCTGAAGTTGGGGAACACCAACACAGCATCTACAGAGCTGCTCATAACTTGCGTTGGAAAGCTCATTAACAAAAGAGGTGTGAGGAATACGGCGGATCTGGACCGCCTTGTCGAAGGACGAGGCTCAACCACCGGCCCAATTCTCGGCCTCCCCTCGAGGACCACTACAGTTTAAATTGGGGCGTTCCCATCCCTGAGCCAGCACACAGAAAACTCGTCAAGGTCTGTCAGCAAGAACACGAAACCTAACACTTCTATTACTAAAGTGAAGGTGAAGCAGTCCGGCCCTCGGCGGCCCTGCCCCTGGCTGCCCTGGCTGCCCTGCCCTGCCCGGCCCGGCCCGCGGACACGAGTGCTTTCCCGGCGCAGAGCACAACAGCCAGGCAGGAACCGGCA